TTCCCGGTTCCGGTTGACCTAATTAATGCAGCCTAAAAATCCTTTAACGGATTTGAATATTAGAAGCGTATTAGTGTGTTATGTGTAAGCCAGGTTAAAGAGATGGGTCTTTAATCTAGATTTAAACTGCAAGAGTGTGTCTGCCTCCCGAACAATGTTGGGTAGGTTATTCCAGGTTAAAGGTTATCTTTCCACTGTCGTTTTCTCACCTCATCGTGGTGGAGGTTATATAATTTAATAATATCTCTATAATGTAAATAATAATTATAAATAATGAATTGTATTTTTTCATTAATTCAATTATAGATATTTATATTTTCACATTTTTATTTAACTATATTTTTGGGGATGCACAGCCTTTACTATTAAAAGCAAAAGATATGGTAAGCATGTTCTCTTCTCTTTTAAAAGTTATGCCATTATTTTGCTAATTAATTCCTAACTGCATACAATGAAATGGTTAGTTGCATTTTATAATTCACAATTTGCTTTGTTTTAGTCTTGCTGTCAGTGATCCATTTTTGGGTTGTGACCTACCAGTATGCTCTAAAATATTTCATTGACAAGAAATTGCTCTTAGTGAGTGCAATCTCTGTTTAAATAATAAAAAAAAAATCCTCATCCAGATATCACAACTAACTGGAAAAGTCATGGAGAAGTCACACTGACTTACTTAGCTGTGCTTTATTTCCAGGCACTCTGTTATTCTGTAATTGCTCTCATCCTGCCATTACATCTGCCGTACACAGGCTCTTTAGACATTTAGCAATTAGTATAGGATTGTTGGCTCTCATCAGGGCGACTGTCAGGGTTATTCACCCAGGCTCATGCCATTATCTCACGGTGCGTCCCTGAGGCGGCACACCGAGCTTTACGTGCCCTGTGTGATGCACTGCTGCTTGGATCTATGGCAGAATACAGAGAAATGCATATTGTGGATTGGCGTTAATTATCTGGATGACATTGCTGAGTGCTGGATCTTTTAATCAGTGCTTTGATTAGAGGGCAGATGGTTGATTGAGTCCAGTGAGAGGCCTTTAGATGAGAAAGCCCCACTAGCAGAGGCCTATCTGCCCTGAGGAGAGAGACAGAGATGTATGGGTCAATCTCAAGAAAATATGTTCAGGAAAAGACTGACTATCGGGAGGATACCCTGATACTTGGAAATTGTTGCAGATGGAAATTTGATATAGATGGATAGATGAACAGAGCTTGAATGCATGTCTGACTGAACACCATACTGCCTCTTTATATTAGCTCTGATACATTTGGTGTCTCTCTTATGTTTTCATGTTTTCATTTTCACAATAGCAGCAATATTATATTATATATACAGTATTTCTGATTCTATCTCGCAATTGAGGCCATTTCGCCATTTCCAGGTCACAATCAAAATCAAAATATATGTATACATTCAATGTTATATAATGTAGGGATGCTCCAATCCGCCTTTTTGGCCTCCGATACCGATACCTAGGGTTCGGTATTGGCTGATACCGATACCGATCCGATACCAGTGAAGTTTTTTCCCCTCATTTAAATAAATGTAGAATTTATATATCTCTGTGTGTGGAACTGATAATCATTCTTTCACAATCTACTAGATACAGACTACTTCATTATAAAGAAAAATGAAATAAACAATAAATATGAAAAAATATGTGTATATTTATAATCTATGACAAAAATTTATCATAAACTAGGTTAGTGGATAATTCGGCAACAAAAGTTATTTTAAAAAAATCAGTGCACAATAATTTCAGAAATCCAAACATTTAGTGAAAAAACTATATTTTGTGGGGAACAAATAAAAGTGTTGCACTAAATATGGTAAAATGTTACAGTTTTTAACGTGCACAGTAACTGAAATTTAAAACTGTTAAAAGAAAGGCTCAATAACTGTTGCACAGATATAATACACTACGCATCAATTTCTCTTCCCTTTGTGCTTTGCAGTTTTTAACATGAAACCCTTACAATGTGTGCATCCGGTGTGCAGAATGATGCGCTTGAAGCAACACTGTGTCAGGCACATTGTAAGCGCTTCGTGCTCATAGACTGTATAAAAACAGTTCATGCTGCACTGTATTTGTTTTGTCCTATCGTATCTATCATATGTTGTTGCCTTATTAAAAAATATGCAATACATTTAAAAGAAATGTATTTTAATTTTATAGTATATACTTATATATAAATACATTCATGAATGTTTTTAATGAATGGATTTTATAATAATACAAATAGCAATGTGTAACATTTTACCATATTTAGTGCAACACTTTTATTTGTTCTCCACAAAATATTGTTTTTTCACTAAATGTTTGGATTTCTAAAATTATCGTGCACTGATTTTTCTAGAATAACTTTTGCTGCCGAATTATCCACTAACCTAGTTTATGATACATTTTTGTCATAGATTATAAATATACATAGGCCTATATTTTTTCATATTTGTTTATTTTATTTTTCTTTATAATGAAGTAGTCTGTATCTAGTAGATTGGGAAAGAATGATTATTAGTTCCACACACAGAGATATATAAATTCTACATTTATTTAAATGAGGGGAAAAAACCTCACTGGTATCGGATCGGTATCGGCCAATACCTTACCCTAGGTATCGAAATCGATATTGGAGGCGAAAAAGGCGGATCGGAGCATCCCTACTTTACATAGGCCGATGTTGCAGATCAATTTCATATTTCAAGAACAGCCTCTTCACAACTATTAGACTGCATAGCAAGTAATGCGTCTGAAATATTGCAAATCTGTGCTAAATGAACTCTATTACAACTAACTCCATACTTTTTGTATTTTTCTGCATTTATGTTTGGTCAGTATGTATTGTCTACTGTACATTTCAGTCCAGTAATCACACTCTCTCTCATCTGTAGCAAAACTACACCAACCGCAGGCCCAGGTACGGTTACATTAGCAAAAATTCACTTAAATTTTCAGGCAAGAAAGGACCATTGCCCATAGTATAGCGATATATGAAGCACCGCTCACAACTAAGTCACTTTTAAACCAAGTAACTTTCTTTTGGTCAGCTTGGCAAATTCGCATGGCCAACTTAAAACGTTTGCTCTAATGCAAAACTCCCAATTGCACGGAATCTTATTGAAATGCATGGACTTTGTTTGCAAAATTTTGCAGAGCAAAGGTAAATGTGAAGTTTTGTTCATCTTCTGCCCATCTGCACAGCATTTCTTTCCTTCCATTTAGACTACTTGTTTAGGGACATAATATATAAGCCAGGCTTATTTTCAAATCATCTAGTAAATACCATGTAAAATGAATGGTACACTAAATGCAATTCAAAAGAACATTTGATTTTTTTAGCTTAACAAAGCCATCTTCAGCTGTCACTTACTAGCTACTAGCTTTTTTAAATAATATTTTTATGTAAAAAACATTTTTTTACATCCCATATCCTTGCGTGTTTATTCAGGGCTTGACACTGACTCCCTGATGTTCAGCATTCAAGCAAGTTTAAAACCATTCAAGCAAAAGGAAATGCGAAAGACAACTCAATTTGTTACTTGTACACTGTTAAGAGCCAGGGGGTGAAAGCATTTTGCATTTGAACATCAAGGTAAATTGTACTTAATTTGTCTTCCGGGAAACATGCAAGTATCTTCTGTTGCTTCCAAAGGGCAGTACTAAATGAAAAAATATATATAAGAATAAGAACAATTCAGACATCTTCATCCTGTTCAAAAGTTTTCACCTCCCGGCTCTTAATGCATCGTGTTTCCTTCTGGAGCATCAGTGAATGTTTGAACCTTTTTTAATAGTTGTGTTCGAGTCCCTCGATTGTCCTCAGTGTGAAAAGATGGATCTCAAAATCATACAGTCACTGCTGGAAAGGGTTCAAATATGCAAAAGATGCTGGAAAACTGAAGAATCTGCAGGAGCTGGAGGATTCTTCTGAAGAACAGGGCTCAGTTTAACGGTTCAGAACAAACAAGGGACTCATGAACAACCATCACAAAACAACAAAAAAAACAGTCGTGGATCATCCAGGTAACCACACACAGTATTAAGTACCAAGGGTTTCCAAACTTTTGAATGGGGTTATTTAAGTTCAGCTA